TGTTTGCGGCCTGCAGTAAACCAACCCAAAGCAGAAGAAGTGACGTCAGCGGCTTCATTTGCCTAATCCTCCCTGAGGGACTTATTCCGGTGTGAACGCGATCTGTACTTAGTTCATGAGAACTAAAGAGTTCTCATGAACTAAGTTCAGATTAACCTTTGTGGGAAAAGTACTGCGGTGTGAAAGCGCCTATTGTAGATGTTAAATCACCGATGTTACTTGCCTTTACATTTTAAGCGGGAAACTTTAAATAATGTGTCCCTCTGTTGCTTTGCTTTACTTAGTTGTAATTGTGTTTGTCAATCTGTCAGCCATCTTCTCTACTAATTCTCTTTCTATATCCTCTGTATGCAACCCTACATCATTGCAAAATGCGCTAAGCCTGCAAGAGAGGAAAATATTATAACCAGGCTTATACAGACCAGGTTGCCATTCTTCTTCACATCAAAAGAGCCCCCCCACACACACACACACACACACACACACACACACACACACACACACACACACACACACACACACACACACACACACACACACACACACACACACACACACACACACACACACACACACTATGAGTGATTGGCCACATTGAACCCCCCCTCACTGTAGTCTGGGTTTTGTTGCTTGGTACCCAAGCGGCTGCTGCACTGAGATGAACCGAGTGAGGCTGATAATGCCAGCGAGGCACACACTGTTTCTGAATGGAAGTCCAGCTGGCAGCAGCTCTGTGTTCTGCAGCCCACTGACCAGAGACATTCTGCAGGATCTCTCTCCTGACTGTAGACATGAGCAGGCTTCAGTTGGACTTTATTCACATCCTTAGAACTAGTTTCAGACATGTAATGAGTCTTGTCACGAAGCACGGCTGCCGTTGGATATTACCCTTGTAACCCATCAGCAGAAATCCAGATTTGAGTGAAGCGAAGCAGAGCATGGCAGTCATGGTGTTGAATGCAGGCAAAGGGATATTCCTCAGTGTAAAGCCTCTTACACAGCAAACTGACTGTTGTGTGTTTCTGTGTGTCTGAAGCTGAGCACATTCTCCTCAAGGCTAAACTAATGTAACAGGATGTGAGTGAAAGTGTCAGTCAGATGTGATTGTATGTTGTTCTAATGCTCATGATTTGTTGGTGAGGTTCATGGAGATCCTCCCTGGTTGTGAGCAGACTCTGCTTCACTAGTTTACTCTCGTTCACGTCTGTCTGGAGGATTTTGGTTCAGGCTTTGTTTCTCTTGGGAAATGGGGAGATATTTATAGCTTGCCTGTGTGGGATGTAGAGCTTGAGAGCTGAACTCTGTGTGCGTGTGTGTTTGGGCATTTTTATGATGTGTATGTCTTTGTGTTGGCGTATGCACAGGCCTTTTCAAAAACACACACATCCTCATAGTGACATGGAGAGTGGGAACAGTTTCTTTCCCACTAACACCAGATATAGCTTTACCACACATAAAGTATTCTCAAGGCAAAGATAAGTGTTCAAACCATCACTTTGATTGATCAATTCTCAGAAAAGGAATTGATAACAGCATTGATTTCAAATTGAAGCCATTTAGGGAAAGCGATGGATAATAATTTTTTCCTGCAATGATTTAAGCCAATATTTATTAATTTGACATAAGAAGTAAGATCTTAACAAAATAGTCTTCATTAATATAATGTTCCTGGTGGAGCCGTGTACTGCTGTCAGTGTGAGACACACACACACACACACACACACACACACACACACACACACACACACACACACACACACACACACACACACACACACACACACACACACATATTTGCTCTATAGAACGAAAACACAGAGAAAAAAAAAATCACTCTTTAATTTATTTCGCTCAATAGTGAGGGTCTGATTTAGAATCTGTCGACAATAGCAGGTTATCTTCATTTTTGAAAACTCTTAAAATGTTATGCATTTGCTTCAAAAGGTATCAAAAAGTCTTATCAAACGGTTCTGTATGTGATATAATACACCTATTACCGGCTCATAAATGGTCAAACTTCAAGCTTTGTAAGAATCGAATTGAACTCAAATGTGTGTGTGTGTGTGTGTGTGTGTGTTAGCAGGAGGAGGATGCGCTGCCTCTGGGTCTGTCTACGGGCCAGGCTCTGCTGAAGCTCCAGGACCAGCTGAGCAGCCTGCTGGAGCAGCACCAGAGGGCGGCACGCAGACGGGTCTCTGCCCAGGTACAGAAACACATTACAACCTACACGTTCATATCGGCAAATATCTTTCCTCCTAAAATGTGTTGAATTAGTTTCTTACCGCATCATCCCTAATGCTTTTCCTAGGAACAGTGGGTAAATAGCTTCCTTTACCATGGCAACCGTCACTCCTGTCTCCATTGGCCGGGAGCTGCCCTCACTCTACTGGTGGTGCTGGGACTCCTCTGTTGCCATGGCAGCCAGCCAAACGGCAGGTAGGTGCCCTCTTTTGGCTGACCCGTCCTGTTCTGGAACATCTATGATATTTCATGCACAGCAGCAATATCAATCTTTGTCCCATATTATGTTCATTATTTTGTTTCTGTTTCACTTTTAGCTACATGTTTTTATTCTTATTCTGTCAGAATGATCAAAACGACAAACTTTGCACAATTGATGACTACATGTTGCTCACTTGTGATGCTATTGATGTGAACAATGTGTCTACAGACGTTCTTATGAAAAGAATCATGTATAAACCATCAGCTACACACTAAATATGTATGTGACCTGATCAATACTGACTGGCCAATGAAACACCAATGACTTTGGATACATCTGCTTTAAGTGTATAAATGGTGGTTTCAAAGAGGGATCAATTCAAATTCCTTTTAGAATGTTTGCTGTAGCTTCACATTTACTTTTTATAATTGAGGATTCAAGTCTCTAAGTTTGCTGAACCTGGTAAAGACCGAAGCCTTGAATTTCTATTGAATTTGTCACACGTGGCATGTGCACCTCCACAGTTCTGGTATCGAGCTGGTGAACGCTGCCGCCCTGCTCCTTCTCTTCCTGCTCAACCTGCTGCTGGTGGGACGTCAGGAGCGGCTGAAGAGGACGGAGATGGTGCGCCGTCTCAAGGGCATCATCACACAGCTCAGCGGTGAGGCAACACCGGAAATATATATATCTGTTGCACTTCTGTTCTTCCCTTAACATGAGCCAGGAGGGTTTTACCTTAAAGTCTAAACATGTGGCTTATTAGGCTAAACTACTTTATACACTCTACCTTCAGCCCAAAGCATATTCATTTGCAGGAACTTACCCATTTAGAGAAATAGTTGAATGTATACATTTGATCTGCAATATTGTTATCGGGCTGATTTTGTATGTGAGTGAAAGCCACTGTCAGCTATGACACACCAGCTGTCCACTCTTGTTTAAACGTTCAACTTTTTCCGCATGCATAGTGCATGCATTGCATCATAGAGTAGTAAAAACAAATATTTTCCAGCCATCAGCACTGTCACTCAATTTAATATATAATCTTTGGTAGTACATTGTTGGACCGTGACGATTCTAGAAGCTGTCTGTAAATCAGTGAGCACATACTGACAGAACATAGGAGTATATGCACTTCTCCACAGTGTTTACATAATCACATTGATGTTAGTCACACTCCCCTCTTCCTCTCTCTAAATATGTTCTCTCTCTGTTCGCCTGCTCCTCCAGACTACCTGTCAGGGTGTGTGGGGGAGGTGCAGTGGTCTCCCTCTCAGTACCCCGATCTGTACACACCCTCATCCCCTTCGTGGTCCCTGCACTGGACCTACAGAGACTCCCAGCTGGTGAACCTGCCCATCAGTCTGCTGGTGGAGGGGGACGTCATCGCTCTCAGACCGGGCCAGGAGGCGTTCGCTTCCCTCAGAGGCATTAAGGTTAGTCTGTGCGTGGACTCACAGACATGTACATGCACACATGTGTTAAGATGCAGAGGAAGTCACATTTGGTACAGGAGGAAACTGCACATTATGGCCTCTCACAAGCTTCCTCCTCATTAGCCCTCTGGTCATATAGAGTCACCAATACAGTATAGCTTTTGACTATTCATAATTCAACTTGCAATACTCATTCATTAAAATGTTCAATTTTAAATCCCCAAATATAAACTGACATTACAACATAAAACATTTGAACATTTAAAAAAAGAGTTCATGCTACTATCTCTTAAACATGGTAACAACGGAGCAGTAAGAGTCACAGCATAGGAGTCACATTCAGCTCATGTATCGCCCTTAGTATCATTGACTCATCATCTCGTCTTAGATACTATGTCTAAATCTATTCCTCTCTCCTCAGGATGATGAGCACATTGTGTTGGAGCCAGGAGATTTGTTCCCCCCCTTCTCCCCTCCCCCTTCCCCACGTTCCACTGAGAAGAGAGGCCCTCAGAGCCCCCAGCAGCACCGCCTCTTCAGGGTGGTGCGGACTCCAGTACTGGACATAGTCAGGTAGGGAACCTGCCAGTCTGGGGCTGGGTGTTGAGAAGGCATTATGTGTTTTCTTTCTTTATTTGTTGTTATTCATAACTGGCAAGTGATTTAAAAGAATATATCTTCTCTGTGGGCCCCTTACGCATTGCTGTTAGAAGTTGATGTGACCTACACCAAAGACGACGACTGTATAAACATCATCAGAGTTAGTTTGACTTTTGTTTTGGACAAAGGCTTTGCAACACAATTAAAGCTCTATAATATCAGCTCTCTGACCAGTAAGAGTATACTGTTGAAATACAAATGCACCATAGTCAGTAAATCGAGGTATCATTGAGTCTTTAGATTCTTCAGAGTGGAAGTAAATGACAGCAACACCTAGAATATGTTAGCTCCTTATGAAAAATGATGTTTTCTTCCCCCACAGTAACAGTTTGGAGATGGCGTTGGCTCGACCAATCACAGTGCTGGATAATGAGAGGTTCACAGTGCAGTCGGTTATCACCAAGCATGTCTGTCCAGTGGTTCTGGTGAGCATACAACAGCAAGTCTCTAAATATGTATAGGAAACCACTTGTTGTCCAGATGTAAGTGAACTCACTGAATGACCTCTCCTCTAGGTGGCCTTCCTGCTGGTCAACACTGTCCGCTACTTTATTGATGCACCCAGCCTCACCCCCGCCTGCTTCAATTTCTTTCAACTTCAGGTACAATCATACCAAACTACAAATGTGTAGCTAACAACCACTGGAGTGTATAGAGCATGTCTTGTTTCACATTGTTTATAGACAAAGCCATACTGTTTATATTTGAATTATAATCAATTGAAGACAAATTCAGTTCTAAATGTTGGTAATGAATTAGAGATTTAGAATTGGTGGTTACAAAGGATGTATATGTGAAAGAGAGCGTTGTGTTCAGAGATGTGTCATTGTATGTGCAGTTGATGGGTGTCCTGCCCGTCCTGCCCCTGCTCTTCCCCGTCATGTGGGTGCTGCTGAACGCCTTCGGAGAGGCCAGGGTCCTCGCTGAGTTCAGCCGTGCATCTCCAGCTGGTCTGGTGAGACACACACACACACACACACACACACACACACACACACACACACACACACACACACACACACACACACACACGAGACTTACTTGTTGTACAGGTGGTGATCTGCATAATATGTGCACTGGCTGTGTTTCAGCAGCGTGCCAGCTTTGGTCTGGTTCATTTTCTTGCTTTTTTATTTGTTTGAATGATTTTCTTGTGAATGGGATGTGGAGAAAGTAGTGTACACCATTGTTTGACACTGTAACATAACATCTTGATTATTGTTATTATAATAATAGCTTTACTGGCCAATACTAGTGATGTTTAACCAATAATAATTCATGTTGGCCTCTGTGTTTTGCACTGATATAATGACTTAAAATACATATTAGGGAACCAGTACTGGTTATTTTTGTATAATGTTCCCAACTTCTAGGAATGCATTGTTCAGCACCAAAGTAACTACATTGCCTGTAGTTTTCAAATGTTTTTGTGCAAATGTTCCTCTCATTGAAGTTCCTTTGGCTTTAGTACAGAGAAAGCACATCTTTGTTATTGTCTTAATGTTAAATTACTTCATCAGAAGAAGAGGAGTGGTGCAGGAATGAGTTCTAAAACCCAGACATAAATCAGCATTTGACCACCCTCGTTTCCCTCCTCTCAAAGTCAATGGCTTCTGAATGGGTTTTTTGGTTATAAATAAGATCTGTGGTTGACACAAGCTGAAGAGATTTTAATGTTTTGTTTTACGACATCAAATCAACTCTAAATACCCCACTGATGAAGGTCTGAGGCCTCTATGTGACTAAATCAGACAACTCAACGTCATCACTCCAAACATTAGCCGCAATTAGCTTAGCATTGGTGATGCTCAGCCAGGTGCGATAGCTTTTAACTTCTGGTGATTGTATTTATTAAAGTAGTGTTAATATATGGAGATTATCCAGCTGAACAATATGCATGGGTGTCTTTGCCACATATCTTATTTTCTGCAATATTCTGTAATCCTTCCGATGTTAACTTCCAAAGCTCCGTTATCCCTGCACCACTCTGTTGGCACCTGTTGATTCAGAAGACGTGACAGTGGTCAGCCTAACCCTAACTCACACACAGAGGACACACAGCCAGGCCTCCCTCTGTGTTTTAACTAGACTCTTCTCTCGCCCCAGCTTGCTAAGTTCTCTGAGGACACTCTAAGCAGCTACACCGAAGTGGTTTCCTCCCAGGTATAACCCCTCGCTGTCTCACCCCCCTCCTCCACTCGCTTGGCTCCTGACTCCACCTGAACCTGCCTGTCTTTATGCGCTTGCTGTCTGAGCCCTTTGCAACTCCCTCTCTGGACCCCCCCC